GACGTCATCGATGACGTAATCGGAACGCAACCGGTAGGAAAAGTCAACTAACTTTATCGGTACCGAGGCTCCCACACAAGGCCATGCGGGGAGGGCGCGTGGCACAGTTTGGCTCCAGCTATCATAAGAGTGCGGCGGTCGTTCCGCTACGGTTCTCTGCGGTAACGATGTCTTTAAAAACAACGGTGTTGGGCCCCTCTAAATGGAATAAAATAAACGCCGAGCCGCTGGCGTGTTCCGAGCTTCAGCGGTGAACGGAACACCTCACTCACCCTGCAACTTGTAGACGTCTCGGGCTCGGGAAAGGGTTAAGGAGTTGCAGCGGTGAATGTGTGAACGACGTCGGCGAGCAGATCGAAGTGGCCAGTGGCGTTCCCATGCGGGCCTGGCTTGAGACGAGCCGCGTCTACCGCGCGACGTACCAGCGCGGCGAAGTATGGCTATTGCGATTGACCGCGGCAGACTTTGGGAGGTTTGGCTGTCAACTCTGTTTGCAACAGCTTGGCAGAAGGCGTAAGGAAGCGATAGCCATGCGTGGGTGCATCACAGCGGAAATTGGCCATGAAAATGAGCGCACATTGATCGTTTAAACGTCGACGGTACGTCTGACGGACGGGTTTGTCAGTAGCACTGTTTTACTATTTCTACTGCTGTTCCCACGTTTTGTTTACGTTTTGCGGTTTTTTTTATTCGGGTTGCGGTCGTTTCCCGCGGTTTATTTGAATACGCGGTACGGGCAACGCAACAACGTCACGTGTTTGCGATTGTCGGAATGAGATCACGTGGGTTTGAGAATGCCGTCACAAGGTAAAAAAAAAACCCCACGTGTTTTTTTGTTGTTGTGTAGCGTTTGACAACAATAATTGCCGACCACTCTTTTTTAAGATCCGAACGGCACGCGCGGGAACTTTGTACGAACACTTTTTGAACGTGAAATAAAAAGTAATCTCTCTCAGGTAGTTGTGCAGACATTAACAAAGTCGTGTTTGTTGTTCCCGATCATTCTCTCACATTTCTCCTTTTATGCCACAAGCCGCGCTGCAATATAAACTCGCGGCATTCCGTTTGTCCGTGAACTAATACATTATAAGAGAGCCTTTCAGAAGGCCTGAAGCAACAAGTTACAGGAAGTGGACCCCCCCCACCACCACCAGATGTTTGGCTCAAAAGTTGATTCTGCAGGTTTTGTGTCGGCCGCCGAAATCGTCGTGATCTAAAACTGGGGAGATTGAGCGACATACGGGGGGCCCTGTGAGCGCCTCTCAGAAGGACAATTCGAAAGAAGTCGAAACAATTGGAAACCTATAGACCCAGTAAACATGGCACGTTGGCTTCAGTGGTTTCAAGCACGTGCTAACAACCCCTTTGGCCCCGATGATGACGGTACATTGACTGCACGTACCTACGACAGCGTTGATGGTGCCACTGCATTTGCACGTACAGATGATGGAATATAACAGAGTTTATATTATTTCCGTTTGAGGCAGTCTTATCTACACACCTGTGTTAAAGGCTCCAATAGACGGCAGTGGTTTAAGGCTCCCATAGACTTCAATGTTAAATCCTCCCATAGACTTCAATGTTAAATCCTCCCATAGACTTCAATGTAAAATCTTCCCATAGGCTTCAATGTTAAAGTCTCCCATAGACTTCAATGTAAAATCTTCTCATAGACTTCAATGTTAAATTATCCCATAGACTTCAATGTTAAATTATCCCATAGACTTCAATGTTAAATTATCCCATAGACTTCAATGTCAAATCCTCCCATAGACTTCAATGTCAAATCCTCCCATAGACTGCAATGTCAAATCCCTCCCATAGACTTCAATGTCAAATCCTCCCATAGACTCAATGTAAATCCTGCCATATACTTCAATGTTAAATCCTCCCATAGACTTCAATGTTAAAGGCTCCCATAGACTTCAATGTTGAATCCGCCCATAGACTTCAATGTTAAATCCTCCCATAGACTTCAATGTCAATCCTCCCATAGACTTCAATGTTAAATCCTCCCATAGACTTCAATGTCAAAGGGCTATCAAAACGGGTTGTGAATCTCTTACTCTAGTTTTTCGGTAAAGTCACGTAGGTAAAAAAATTAAATAAAAAATTATAAAAATAAATAATAAGAAATCACGACGTTCGGAGGCAACACAAGTCTCCGTCATCAGGTGGGACCGTCACAGCCAGATTTTGCTGTATCAAGTGAAGCTCATGTTCACAGCTGTTCATGCGGGGGGCACGTCGCGCTGTGCTTAGCTCAACAAAGACAAAGATCCCCTGTATAGCCCTGAACAGACTGTAGGGCAAGTGCTGTTAGCGAGCACCTATGAAGGCCAGCACGGCATACGAGGGGGGTGGGTGGCCAGCACCACGCCCGACCGCCTTTGTCTCCCAGTGGCGATGTTTACACATCGCACCAGTACTCATTTGAGGCTGAGTCGACCTAGGGTAGGCCCAGGACCGGTTCAGATAATCGTCACTAGGTGTTGGCCGTGAGCGGGAATCGAACCCGGGTCGCAGCGCGCTAACCGCTACCCCACCGCTCCCCACAACACAAAGACAAAGATCCCCCCGTATAGCCTGAACAGACTGTAGGGGCAAGTGCTGTTAGCGAGCGTGCTCCCCACAACACACACACAGAGACACACACACACAGAGAGACACACACACAGAGAGAACACACACACCGCCAGCCGACACGGGTACACTGCGCACACCTTGACGAGTGGCTCCTCGTCCTGGCATCCGCCTCGTCCTCTCCTCCCCTGCGGATGGAGTTCCCTCCACGACACCGACACGCAAACTCAGGCGGTTGTCCACGGCTGGATGGTTTTGTCTCTCTCCACTGCACGAGGCAACGAGGCTGCAGTCCTCGTTGTCTTCGTCGTTCTTCGTCGACGTTCACAGCGGCCGCGGGTTGTCGCCGAGAATCGCAGCCGCGTTCATGCGCCTCCCTCGGGGCCTCCCCCCCCTCGGCTCCCTCCCTCCCCCCCCCCGGCTCCCTCCCCCCCCCCTCGGCTCCCTCCCTCCCCCCCCCGGCTCCCTCCCTCCCCCCCCTCGGTCCCCCCCCTCGGCTCCCCTCCCCCCCCCCCCCCCCCCCTCGGCTCCCCCCCCTCGGCCCCCCCCCTCCCCCCCTCGGCTCCCCCCCCTCCCCCCCTCGGCTCCCCCCCTCCCCCCCTCCCCCCCTCGGCCCCCCCCCCCGCAGCTACCCCCCAGCCTCCCACCCCACCCTCATCCCCCACACCACTCCCCCCAGCCTCCATCTCCCCCCTCCCATTTCCACTCCCCCCAACCTCCACCCCCCCACATCTCACCTCACCTCCCACCCCCCCCAGCCTCCATCTCCCTCCTCCCACCCTCATCCCCACACCACCTCCCCCCAGCCTCCATCTCCCCCCTCCCACTCCCCCCCAACCTCCACCCCCCCACATCTCACCTCACCTCCCACCTCCCCCCCAGCCTCCATATCCCCTACATTCCCCATCTCCCCCACCTGTCTCACCCCCCCCCCCCACATCTCACCCCCTCATCTCCTCCACCTCCCTCGAGCCTCCCCCCCATCCCCCCTCTCATCCCCCCCCCCCCCCCATCTCCCCACCCCTCTCACCCTCCCCACATCTCTCTCCCCCCATTCCCCCCATCTTCACCCATCACCTCCGCCCCTCCCCTCCAATTTTTAATTTAACAAATACCATAATAATGATGATGATGAGTGTGTGCGTCTCATACTCCCTAGAGCCTTGAACATTGACGTCTAGATTTTTTTTATCAGGGCCTCTTCACGGCTCGGCTTCACGATCCGACACCCAGGCTCAGGACTGTGAGCATCCGGACACCCAGGCTCAGACTGTGAGCCTCCGACACCCAGGCTCAGACTGTGAGCCGCTCGGTGGCTTATAAGACGCAGGGGCGGCTCAGCCGTGTTCCTGGCTCAGGCTCAGTATTGTGGGAATCCTGAGCGCCGTGGCTCACTTGAGCCAGAGCGGAGCCGGCTCCTTTGGGCTGCGAATGTGCAAATGGCGCGGACTAAAATAGAAATGCAAACGAGGCTGAACAAACGAGGACAAAAGGATAATCTATTGATTGGAAGGGTGAGGCGAGCCCAGCATCGTGGCAACTCATCAAACCACGACCCTTGGGAATTAGAATCTCGCGCGTGACGAGAAACACAAAATCATCACAACAGAACCATCGGTTCAGGCAAAAAAAAACCAGACGTTTTCTGCAACGCAACAAAGCACGCTGCACCTTCTTACGGTTACAACAAAGCTCTTGGCCAAAAGCGTCATGCAAAAAAAAACCCACCAGCTCCTGAGGATCTGCATTGCCCAGGTCATACATTGTCTCAAGTCACATTTGTTAGATGCATTGGTAACTTAAGACAACGTTACAACGATGCAGTTCTTCAGGAACTAGTGGTTTTTTTTTTTTTTAAATCGCAGAATGATTACGGCCGATAACTTTTGTACACATGCAGTGTGGGTCGACGAAGCATGTGATCAGACGGTATGAACGACATTGTTGGCTATAAACTATGCAACTATAAACTATTTTTTTTTATTTCACCAGGTTAAGGCCCACTGAGCTGAGCTATATCGCTCCTTATTCAGGAAGCGACCTGGTCCACACGTGATAGCTCAACGAAGGGCTTATCGCGTGGAAATGTATCGCAGCCCAATAGTCTCAACGCGTGTTTCTAAATGTGGAGGGAAAAACCGGAGGACCGGAGAGAAAAAAAGATCCACGCGACCACGGGGAGAACACGCAAACTCCAAATATACAGCAGCAGGCGTCGGGGGTCGGAATCGAACGCCGCGACCTCCTGCATACCAGGCGAGGTAGTTAACATCTCGCCACCGTGGCTATGAGACGGGAAGGCTGACGGGTGATGAGGTGGAGAGGGGAGCGATTGCGAGCGACGTTAATGAGCCCACGAGACGGTGAATGTGTCGGGGCCATATACAGGGTGCTTCAAAAAAATGTGAACACTTACATGGGAATATCGTTTTTAATTAAAGAACGGATAATACTGGTAGGAACCATCTGGTTCCACCAGCCCACAGGGGATTATTGTGTCCGTCCGTTCGTCGTGCATCCAAAAATGGGAGGGGTGGGGCTGGGTGGAGAGGGGAGGGTGGGGAGGGGCTGGGTGGGGAGGGTGGGGTGGGGCTGGGTGGGGAGGGGCTGGTCACCCCGTGGTGCCCTTATACAACTCAACGTTTAACCTACTCACGCCGGCTTGTGCCCGCCCTCACAGTCGGCCATATTTGCGGAATACACCACGCCGCCGTTGACCCTGGCCATTGACCGAGCAACCCAACGTTCCTACCAGCTCCCTCCGCAGGAATGTGTTACACTGAAACATCATAACAAATGTAATGTTAGTAGCTTCAAGTCAAAGAGTCTCCACTTGTTCGCCATCGTTGTCAACACGTGCCTGGAATCTTCTCCAGGTGGTCTCCAGCGTCCAGAGGCGCATTTCTCGTGGTGTCGTTGCAAATTCTCGGAAGTGTTCACATTTTTTCAACCCCTGGCGGTGCACAGCACATGGAAACGTTGGATCAACGTCTCTGGGCCCAGCTTTGGCCCAACGATTCTGACCACACACCAATGGCCGGCTTAACGTTACTGGGAAGACAGAGGTGGCTAATGTGTGAGCAGCGTTGGGTAGGGTTACTTTTAAAAAGTAATCAATATCTCATGGTTGTTCTCACATTAACCCACTTGATTAGACTCCATCATTAGCACCCCTCCCCCGCCCCGCCTCACCACCCGTCAATTGTCAATTGTTCTTTTGACTCATTTTAGAAACATTCTTAACGACGAACAACGACCACAAATAATCAATCGGAACAAGTTTACCGGAAGTAATCCGACGGCACGGTGAGAGTGGAGTAATCGTAAGGGGTTGCCGGCACGCACCGGCCTGCTGGCAATCCGATTATAGCGGTTGTGGAGTGTGGAGTGTGGGTTACGGTGAGGATGTTGATGGCGGTGATGGTGATCATGGTGGCGGCGGTGGTGATGGCCGTGGTGACGTTGATGTCGTTGTTGATGGCAGTGGTGATGGTGATGGTGGTGTTGTGGTGATGGTGGCGTTGCGATGGCAATGGTACTGGTGCGGTGGTACTGGTGTTGGTGGTGGCGGCGATAGCAATTGGGATAACGGTGGCAGTGTTGGCAGTGGCAGTGAGAGCGGTGCTGGTGGATGATGTGTTGGTAGTAGTCGTGTTGGTCGTGTTGGTGGATGATGTGTCGGTGGTGGTCGTGTTGGTGGTGCTGGTGGCGGTGGTGTTGGCAGTGGCAGTGAGAGCGTTGACGGTGGTGGTGATGATGCGTCAGCAGTGGTCACGATGATGCGTTGGTACTGGTCGTGTTGGTGGTGCTGGTGGCGTTGGTTTTGCTGGTGGGTGGCGGTGGTGTTGGCAGTGGCCGTGTTGGTGATGCTGGTGGTAGCGATGGTGCTTGGCAGTGAAAGCGGTGATGGTGGAGGTGGTGGTGATGTGTCGATAGTGTTCATCACGATGTGTCTGTAGCGATCGTGTTAGCGGTGCTGGTGGTGCTAGTGGTGCTGGTGGTGCTGGTGGTGCTGGTGGTGTTGGTGGTGCTGCTGGTGGTGCTGGTGGTGGCGGTGGTGGTGGCATCAGTAGTCGTAGGGGTGGCGACTGTGTGGGCCGCGGGCGGCGTAGTAGGCGTCGTGCACGCCCTCTTGGTCGGCGTTGTCCTGCCGGCGGAATCGCCCGTCCACCCACACGCCCGGCACCCCCAGCTCCTCCATCATGCGCATGTAGCGGTCCTGGTATTCGCGCATGCGCTCGTACTGCTGCTCGGCGTCGCGCGGTTGGAAGAGGGAGGGAGGAGGGAGAGACGCAACAGCAGCAGGAATAATTAACAGCAGCCGGAATCACGACAACGGCAGCAGCAGCATCATCGACGGCGGTGAGAGCGCCGCCCGCCGCCACGCCCTTGCGCCACGATCGCTGAAGGTCACCGACTTTTCCCGGGGAGGCTCCAACCGGACGCGCGTGTGAGATCCCGCGCAGAAGCTGTTAACCGCATCAGTATTTCTAGGGTCAACGCCGCCGGCAGTCTTAACCGGGGGCGGCCTTGCCGGATTCGAACCGTGAAAACCTCCGCGGCAGGGGGCCCGGGCTTCGCACGCAAAAGTCCCCCGCGAGCCCCATCCATTCACGACGCTCCCGTCTCACTCACTAGCTGCTGGTACTCGTGGTAGGGGTTGTAGCTGCGCGAGCTGGAGTACGGGTTGTACTCGTTGCTGTAAGGGTCGCGGTGGTCTCCGTACGAGTCCTGGTGACCGCCATA